TTTTAATAATATTATCCTCTTCGGATTCTTCGAAATTGATGATATTAATGTTGTCCATTAAAGTCGACTCCAGTTTTGTTAGTTCTCTGTTGACAATATGTATTTATGGTTCATTAGATTGCACTTTTATTAATAAGTTTATTATAAGTTCTAACAGCGACATCATATTTTGGATATGATTCCAAAAATTATCATCAAGAACTTTTTTTTTATTTATGTAGACTCAATTCATCGTGACATATCCTGTATAGTTACCACATAGACATGATGCCAATAGAATGCCTAAATTAGACGCAACATATTTTCAACTTTAATTTTCTTTGATATTTACAAAATGTGAGAGCGGTGATCTTTTATTTGCCAGTAGTTGCTCATCTTCGTAGGGTTCCAGCGATCTTGATAACGGTATTTCATCGTAAATTTTAAGAGACATTCTACTTCCCATATTCTTGTAGCTGCTCATTTAGAATGGAAACAATGTTATCATCTTTTCTATTGTGGAGGGCTTTTTGGGCCCTCCACAACTGCTATAAAAGATGAGCAAGCAGCTAATTCGATATTTGTGAGTTTGGTATCAAAAGCTGGATCTTTCAATAATCTTCTTATTTGTGGCCCAACAAATATATCTTCTTTCAGATTTGCTCAACTCAATTTTTCTTTCAACTGATTGAAGGCCTGTCCTCTTTTATCCAAAGCTTTCACAAAATTCTTCATCAATCAAGTTGGACCTTAACTTGATTGAATCGGAGGCAAAATGATTTTGACGGGATTAACCAATGAAGTGTTTTTCACATTTTCTTTTGCTGCAACATATGATTTTCTTATATTCCATTTTATGACTGTAGGTGTGTTTAGTGTCGCAGCTGTTCTATAGGCATGAAAGTAGCAATATCTCGTGAACCGCTCTGTAAATCTGTAAGGAATGAGAGAACTTTTATATCAGAGCAAAGTTTCCAGCGCAGCCAGGGTTTCATAAGTTTCTTTCATGTTTACTGTATAAACCAACGGCACCGATGGGAATGTATTAGTTTCTGTATCATCTTATATCGCCAACCGGCAGCAAAAATATACTTTATCGCCAACCGGCAAGAAAACCATACGTTATGCTATCCATTTGCGGCAGTAAAGTGACACGTTGTGCTACAGTCTAGTAAACTGTGCATTTAGCGGCAGGTAAAACATTTTACCTGCCTCTAATTGCTGTAAGCGACAACCGATATTCCGCACCATATCACACATATCGTTAACAAAAAAGAAAGACGTGTTTTTTATTCATTAAATGAATTGCACAAGATTATGGCTTCTTGTGTTAATGCTGAAGCGTTTAATGATAACCTGAAAATTTGTTTTGCTGTTAATAATAAAAACTTTACGTGCCCTGTTTCATCGGTAAAATGTACAAAAAGAGAAAGAACCAAGGACCACATAGAATTTCTACATAAAGCAATACAACTGCAAGTCACACAGAACGCGTTCAAAGTTAAGACACCTAAGAAGTTAAAGAATCAACAATTTGAACTTGAGAAAAAGCTTATTAGGAAACAGCTGACTACAGACACAGACTACTGATTCACTACAGACAACAATCGACTATAGATTCCACAGTAAAATTTATTCATAGAAATATGCAGAAACAGCTCCACTTTATAGAGATCGAAGATATCTTGAACAAAATTAGAGAAGAGGTATATTACAGGACATTAAAAACAAAAGAAAGTAAACGTAAGAAACTACTTACAAGGAGACATCGCAGTTGACTCTTCACCAATTTTGATGAATTTTTTTATGGTGAATCTATATTGAATATAAGTAAGTTCCCCCGGAGCTTTTGATCGAATGACCCTTCTAAAGGGAGTTATTAATTTTTTAAAGTTACGATTTTTGAGAGTTGTTGTTATAAGCTATAAAGCGAAGCCGTTTTACATATTAGTCTATAGTGCAGTGAATGAATGCCGCGCTCCTGCGCAGGAAGCCCAGGATCGGGATTCGAAGTTTCAATTTTTTTTTTGTTTTACAATTAATTGTTTATTGTAATACTCCTAATCTATTGTTTTATTTATATCAATATATACGTAATTATATTTATATATAATTGTAATATAAGTTTACGTCCTGTTATATCCTTTGAAACAGAGAACACGTGTTATGAGGTTTTATTAAAAGGAATTATTAAAAAATTCCAAATAGTGATAATAATAAAGTAATTAAAAAATTACAATTATATATAAATATAATTACGTATATATTGATATAAATAAAACAATAGATTAGGAGTATTACAATAAATAATTAATTGTAAAACAAAAAAAAATTGAAACATCCGAAGAATCCCGATCCTGGGCTTCTTGCACAGGAGCGCGGCATTCATTCACTACACTGCGGACAGATATGTTAGACGGCTTCGCTTTATAGCTTATTACAACAACTCTCAAAAATCGTAACTAAAAAATTAATAACTCCCTTTAGAAGGGCCATTCGATCAAAAGCTCTGGAGGAACTTACTTATATTCAATATAGATTCACCATAAAAAAAATCATCAAAATTGGTGAAGAGTCAACTGCGATGTCTCCTTGTTAGCTTAGTTAAAGACAAGCAAAATCATAACAATCAAATTTAATATAATAGGCAGAGTTTTAAGAATAGCAAGGTTAATTTAATGTAAAATGGTATCACTAATGATTCGAGTCGAGGAATGAAGGTCAATAATAATAGAAATACTAATCATTTTATAATTAAAAAATCGATAAAAACAACCCCGTTCAAAACATAAAATTAGCTGATTTAGATCTCACATTCGCACCGAGCTTCACAAATCTGAGCCACTCACAATTAACAAAAAACGACATTGATTTACTTAATTTAGGACATAAATTTTCACTACCACCTATTTTGAAACCCATTGCCTTAGCTATTACTATGGAATCCCAACTAACCAATAACCCTTTCAGAAGGGACATACTTAACGATAATTTCTACAATATATACAATATTAATAGCATAGGAAAGAATACTCAAAGAGAATATAAATTTATACAAACAAACCTTAAAAAATTAAATCGGAAAATAAACAAAGACAACCTTATTATCACTTTGGGAGATAAAAATGCAGGTTTAGTGTTAATGAATAAGGGTGAATACATAGAAAAAACCGAACACTTTTTCAAAGAAAATAATATTACTTCAATTAATTATAACCCGACATTAACATTTAACACCAGTTTAAAGAAACATATTAAAGAAAGTAACGTACCCAAATTAAATATTAACACTTACTTTTTATTACTGAGTAATGAATCCGCTAGCACCCACTCTGAAAAGTCTAATTAAATTACACAAACCCGATAAAAGCATAAGACCCATAATTAGTAATAAACAAACACCTTCGGAAAAAATTGCAAAAAAACATCAACAATTCTTATATCAAATTTTTGAAAGTCAATTCACACATCGTGTTAAGAATTCAGTAGATTTAATAAACAAAATTAAAAACATAAAAATTGAAAAACATACAAAACTTATTTCTTTTGACATCAAAAACTTATACGCAAATATTCCGATATCTAACACCATCGACATTTTCATTTTCATTTTTCATTCGACATCAGAATTTTTTCATACTCAACAATAAATATTACAAGATGACTGACGGACTATGGCTCTATGGGTTCACCGATATCAGGGATAATCGCTGACATTTTTGTCAATTGGTTCGAACGGAAGCTGTTTTCAAATAAATATAGCACTTTCACCTGAGACATAGCATTTTACGATACACAAATAAAAATGAGGAGTTGATTTTAACACCGTTTTACTTCTTTTTCGTGTATCCCTCGTGTCCAACGGAGTACGGTGTAAATTCTGAATGGAGTGAAAATGAACGGTGGAAAAACAACTCTTTTGAGTGTGGAGTTTACCTCGATCTCGGAGTTATTAACCTTCACCCAGACGATGTAATATTGACACATTGTTGGAGTTGAATTCGCTCTCAAAGGGTGTTGTTGTTAATACTGTAAAGTATTTACTTGTATACCATGAAGATATGTTATAACACCTATAGCGAATGTTAAATCAACACCGCAGAGAATTTGAATTAACAATTTTACAGTGTTGAAATATAGAGGTAAATCTGACAGGTGAGTACGCAGGTAGGTATGCATAAATGAAACAACTTATTCCTAAAAACATTTTTTATTGTAGGTACAGCACCAATACTATTATGTATATACAAGTACTGTACTAGTACTACTTATATACTAAGACTTAATATGTAGTTTCAATATAAACAAACATACTTTTGCCAAATGTAGTTGTTATTGCGTGACATATCAGTCAANAAAAGTTTAACATGTTAGCATGTTATATATTAGAAAATAAAGTAAAATTTATATAAATTTTTAGTTATCGTACCGTAATTTACAGGAAACTGTAAATTTAATTTCTATGACGACACTAAAAAAATTTATTTTTAGCTTCATTCTAAAACAATAAAAATATCTATCTAACCCTATATTTTTGTAATCAGAAAAAATAAGCGAATAATCAGTGGTTGTTTCCATTTAAAAAACGAAAATTGTCGTGATATGTCAAAATCTAAGTTAGCCTATTCGAACATTGAATTTGAACCACTCTGTACATTCAATAATTAATCTGGTAAGTGATTTTAGGATATACAGGGAGTTTTAAGTAAAACACCTGTATGTAATTAAAGTTTGTTTTCTGCAGGATTGTTTAAATTCCTCGGGATTTAAGTCTCAAGATGATTGTCTTAAATCTTAATCGGCTTAAATCGGTTGGTGATTGTAATCTTTTTGATGATACATAAGTAAATTTAAATTACTTTTTTAAGTGCTGAAAATTCCCAAAATAATTAATGAATTAGCTTGAAATTAATACACTACTACAAATGAATTTTTTTGTAATTACACCCATTTATGACTTAATAATAAAACACGGATGTTATTTTTAAAAGCAAATTTCCCATTTACGCATTCCTCACATCAATTACAAACTAAATTGTTATAAATTATTTCATTAACCAAATAAACGTTTCAGTGTCACATCAGAAATGGAGAAAACACATTATCGATATCAAGAAATCTCGATTTTCCATCAAATATTATTTTCATTAATTATATTTTTTTTAATACTTCTGTTATTAAGCACGTACTGTAAATTAAGTATAGGTTGGAATAAAAGTAATGTGTGTTTGAATGGGAAAACGATTTTAATAACAGGAGGAAATTCCGGTAATAAATTTTTTTAATACTAAACTTAAATACCAATTTTTTCTTTTAAGGATTAGGTTATCAAACAGCTTTAATATTAGCTAGTAGAGGCGCCAAAATTATTTTAGCAGACAAAAACAATTTAACCCAATCTAAAAAGAACATAATCCAAGAAACCAAAAACAATAAAATCATCACAAAGTATGTAGATTTAGCAAGCTTCGATACAATTAAAATTCTTGCGAAAGAAATTATTGAAGAAGAAGATCGATTAGATGTTTTAATTAATAACGCGGGAATTTCGGGGTATTTCCCCGGATTTACAAAAGATGGATTGCAATTATTAATGCAAGTGAATCATTTTGGGCCATTTTTATTAACACACCTCTTAGTACCGTTATTAAAAAAATCAACTCCAAGCAGAATAATTTTCGTCAGCTCAATTGTGGCATTTACACCATTAATTTTTAATCTTGATTTAAATGAAGATCCACAAAGTGTAATCGGCAAAAATATTCATTACTCAAGATCAAAACTTTACAACGATATCATTTCAATCGGATTTGCTGAAAAATTAAAAGGAACTGGAGTAACTTGTAACTCTTTAAATCCAGGGTTGGTTAAAACACCTCTTTTAACGTCAGCTTTAAATATGCGTGGAATAAATTTTTTTTCGCACGTTTTAAACGTTGCAATATATTTATTCGGAAAAGTTAGTTTTTGGTTATTTATGAATTTATTTTAATTTATTTTATTGTAGACTCCTTATGAAGGGGCTCAAACTCACGCTTATTTAGCCATGGCAGAAGAAGTTAAAAATATAACTGGAGGATTCTTTTCCGATTGTAAAGAATGGGGCCATCCAAGGATAACGCGAGATAAATTAATTTGTGAAAAAGTTTGGAAAGCGAGTGAACAATTTATTATGTTATCTTCTAAGGATAAGTTATAAATAAATTTTTTCACCATATCAAAAATTTTGATGATACTTTTTTAAGGGGTGTTGTGCCCAAAGGCGCAAAATGATTGGAACTTGATCGCATTTCATGCTCCTTGTGAAACAGATTTTAACCGCATCATTTGTGGTTACCGATTTAAATAAAAATAAACCTTACCTTGTGTGAAGATCCTCCTCGGAAAGTCGATCATATGGAGGTGGTGGAGTCGTACAAAGTTCACTAAGCATATGATCCAAATCATTTGCTAAAGTTGATAATAACTGCAAAGAAAAATCTATTTAAATAATCGCAAATACATTAATTTGATTCAATTATATCTATATTGTCAACTACAACAATTTAATTAAAACGTCATTCGTTAATTATCGAACGAATTTAACAAACAAAAATTAAAATGGGTACGAAACAACGACAAAACCTTGTATTTGTCAATCGTTTCAAATTAAACAAACCGACTCTAATTGATTGCGAAAACCGTCGAACCAAGGTAAAAGGGGGAAATAGATTTGGCCCCACTGGCGTTCCACTTCGTGTTTGTTTTCGGTGTGCAATGCGCGGAAACAGAACAAAACCGTTCGAAATGTTCACGTTAGAACGAACTTACCACTTTGTGAAATATGTATGACTCACTGAGAAGCTTTCAAGTTTTTCGTTTCATATTTAAGTTGAAATGAGTGTTTTTTATATATACTTTTTTATGATTAAGTTGTTATGTAGAAGGATGGTTGAATCTAAAAAGACTGCTAAATCCTTAGAAGGCTTATTATTCTCTAGTAGAGTTTCTAGAACACTATGTATATAGATATAGAAGCTTGGCAGACTCTTAATGTTAAATAAAAGTTTCCAGATGTAATAGCTCATGTTGCTAACAAGTTGGCAGATTTGCAATAAAGAATACAATCTTCAAGATATAATAGTTCATGCTGCCAACAAGTTGACATGTTTGTAACACAGGATGAAAGATATAAGATATCTATCTCATGCGTCTGAAGATGCGAGGCTAAACCCGAAACTTTTTAGGTCTAGTTTAGTTCTGTTTCTGTAAGTCGTGGCATAAATTTAACCACAAATACTAGAGTCAAAATGATGATTCGTGTAAAAATTTTTGAAGAAAATTATCTAGAGTTTGATTTTTATTTTATATAGAATTTAAGTCTAACTAGTTTCGGCCCTTGGCCATCTTCAGAGACTCTACAAATAGATTAACATCTCTCATCTTATCCATTTTACAAACAAGTTTCTTAATATTTCTTTTTGTTTTATTAAAAAAGATTACATATCAAAGTTGAAATCAGATTAATAGTTACTAATTTACAAAATTAAAGTTTAAAAAGTTGTAAAATGAAATTAAGGACGAAGTGTTACAAGTTTACAGGTTCAGTAGTTCAGTTATAAAACTTCTATTATATGATAACTAACTTCAGGATAAAAATGTCAACCTCAATTTTGACATATTTGTAATCTTCATTAAAAATCCTTTAAAATGAGTACAAACACAACATAGTTATCTTCAATATTAATGAAGTTATGGTCAACTTCCGGTTAAGAATGTCAACGTCAATTTTGACATATTTGTAATCGCCGTGAAAAATCCTTTAAAATGAGTCCAAACTCGACATATTTATCTTCAATATTAATAAAGTTATGGTCAACTTCCGGTTAGGAATGTCAATGTCATTTTGACATATTAATTTTTATAAAATGTCTTATATTTGTCACAAAAACAAAAATATAATGAAAAAAAAATTAAAAATTAAGGTTGGTATTAATATTTAAAAATTAAATTGCTATCTTTATTGTTGCTAACTTCGGGTTTAATGTTTTTTTTTCCAACTTTTTTGTTTTTTGAGATAAGTGAGTCATCTTTGGACTCATTTTAAAGGTTTTTTAATGAAGATGATAAATATGTCAAAATTGACGTTTCAAACCGGAAGTGATTATATTTCCATTAATATTAAAGTTAGATATGTCGAGTTTGGACTCATTTTAACGGATTTTTTATGAACTTGACAAATATGTTAAAATTAACATATTTAAATCCTTTAAAATGAGTCCATACTCGACATATTTATCTTCAATATTAATGAAGTTATGGTCAACTTCCGGTTAGGAATGTCAATGTCATTTTGACGTATTCCTAATTTTTATAAAATGTCTTAATATTTGTCACAAAAACAAAAATATAATAAAAAAAAATTAAAAATTAAGGTTGGTATTAATATTTAAAAATTAAATTGCTATCTTTATTGTGGCTAACTTCGGGTTTTATGTTTTTTTATTCCAACTTTTTTGTTTTTTGAGATAAGCGCGTCATCTTTGGACTCATTTTAAAGGTTTTTTAATGAAGATGATAAATATGTCAAAATTGACGTTGACGTTTCAAACCGGAAGTGATTGTATCTCCATTAATATTAAAGTTAAATATGTCGAGTTTGGACTCATTTTAAAGGA